AGTCTGTAAATGCAGGCGTGTATATGTACAGAGAGTGAATGCAGGGGAGAAGGTGTGAATGAATGCACTAGTTATTACCACCAGTAGTAGTTATCACAGGGGGCATAGTAGATGTAGGAGAGGATTATGGGACATAGTCGATGCACAGGGATAAAGGCCGTAGTGAGTGCCGGGGGTAATAGGGGCTGTAGTGGGTGCAGCAGGGATAGGGGCTGATGTTGAGGTGGCAGGGGGGATGGGGGATAAAGTGTGGGCAGTGGGAAAGAAGCTGCAGTGGGTATAGGGGACATAGATGCTGTAGAGGGGTAAGGGAGTAGTGGGTGCCTGGGGGGAGGGGCTGTAGTGGCGCAGGGGGGTAGAGGCTGTAGTGGGTGCAGGGGGGTAGAGGCTTTAGTGAGTGCATGGCAGTAGGCGCTGTAGTGGGTGCAGGGTGTATAGGGGCTCTAGGGTTGCCTGGGGTAGGGGCTGTAGTTGGTGCAGAAGGGTAGGGGCTATAGTAGGTGCCAATGGGTAGGGGAATAGAGGCTCTAGGGCTGTCTGGGGTAGGGGCTGTAGTGGGTGCAGAGGATAGGGGCTGTAGTTGGTGCAGAGGGGAAGGGGCTCTAGTGAGTGCAGGGTGTATAGGGGTGTAGGGCTGCCTAGGGTATGGGCTGTAGTGGGTGCAGATGATAGGGGCTGTAGTGGGTCAGAGGATAGGCGCCTGTAGTAGGTGCAGGGTGCATAGGGGTCTAGGGCTGCTTGGGGGAGGGGCTGTAATGGGTGCAGAGGATAGGGGCTGTATTTGGTGCAGAGGGGTACCAGCTGTAGTGGGTGCAGGGAGTATAGGGGTCTAGGGCTGCCTGGGGTGGGGGCTGTAGTGGGTCAGAGGAAAGGGGCTATAGTGGGTCAGAGGATAGGGACTGTAGTGGATACAGGGTGTATAGAGGTCTAGGGCTCCCTGGGGTAGGGGCTGTAGTGGGTGCAGAGGGATAGGAGCTCTAGGGCTGCCTGGGGAGGGGCTGAAGTGGGTTTAGAGGGATAGGAGCTCTAGGGCTGCCTGGGGAGAGGCTGTAGTGGGTGCAGGGTGTATAGGTGTCTAGGGCTGCATGGGGTAGGGGCTGTAGTGGGTGCAGGATGTATAGGTCTCTAGGGCTGCCTGGGCTAGGGGATGTAGTGGGTGCAGGGTGTATAGGTGTCTAGGGCTGCCTGGGGTAAGGGCTGTAGTGGGTGCAGGGTGTATAGGTGTCTAGGGCTGCCTGGGGTAGGGGCTGTAGTGGGTGCAGAGGATAGGGGCTGTAGTGGGTGCAGGGTGTACAGGGGTCTAGGGCTGCCTGGAGTAGGGGCTGTAGTGGGTGCAGGGAGATAAGGGCTCTAGGGCTGCCTGGGTAGGGGCTGTAGTGGGTGCAGAGGATAGGGGCTGTAGTGGGTGCAGGGTGTACAGGGGTCTAGGGCTGCCTGGAGTAGGGGCTGTAGTGGGTGCAGGGAGATAAGGGCTCTAGGGCTGCCTGGGTAGGGGCTGTTGTGGGTGCAGAGGATAGGGGCTGTAGTGGCTGCAGGGTATTTGGGATGTAGTTAGTGTAGGAGGTATAGGGGATCTAGAGGGTAACTTAGGGTAATAGGAGTTGCAGTAATAGCAGGGGGTATAGGGGGTTTGCTTGGTAAGGGGTATGGAGGGATAGAAATTGTGAAGGCAAAGCAGAAGATTAAATACTAAAAACAGGTTTAATAGAAAAAACTAATAAATAATTTATTCTCCACTCCCTGGGAAGCCTTGTCCTGGGGGGATGCTTGAGATGCTGACTCTGCATGCACCCTGTAACACTGATAAGGGCAGCTCGGCACTGACTGATTATGTTAATTCCTGCAGTAGGAGCTGCCCTGATCAGTGTTATGGGCAGCAAGCTCAATGTGGCTATATCCCTTTTCCTGCAGAGGCTTTGCTCCTGGAGCTTCTACTGACTGAAGCTGAGGCAGACACACTGGGGGACAGCCTAGGGGGGTCTTTGGGAAGGCCCTTTAGCTGTCCCTCAGTGTGCCCAGCAAGGGGGAGAATATTTGTAGCAGCAGGGGCCCGCAGAAGGCTGTGCGGGCCCTTTACTGAGTGCAGGCTGGCTAGGGAACTTGCTGAACTCCCCAGCTCAGCCATTACTGCACTGCAGCACGGGCGGGCCCCCCAGAGCGTCGGGCCCTCGCTCTGTGACCGATGTGCCAGAGTGCTCAGTCCGCCCCTGTTTGTATCTGTGTATCTATATGTGTGTTTCTGTTTCTGTGTGTGTGTGTGTGTGTTTGTGTGTGTCTGTAAGTGTGCCAGTGTGTGTAACTAATCAGACAGTGGCAACTACATCCTTCTATTAAACATTTGCCTTAGGTTTTTAATGCCTGCACTCTATGTGATAATGACTAGGCTTCTTAATGTGCATAGGGATTTGGGACAGTGCAGATGGAGCTTTTTTGGGGGTTTTTTATTCTGTGGGTGAATTTAAGCAAACAATGCTTATCCTTTCTGTCGCCTTCCAATATGTCCCTATACAAAATGCATTAGTATTTCAATAGGAAAAATAAAGCATTGAGTGTGAGGCTCCTGTACCCATTAACCACTTTACACTTTATTTATTTGTACCTGCAGATAATGTACTCTGATGTTGAGATTCCCTTAAAGTAGACCAGTAAACCATTAGCAGAATAGAAGTAAGATTATATGTCAGGTCATAATATATAGATAATGATTACTAAATGGCTGCAGTCACAGAAATGACATCGTGCTCATTTTCAAATGATGACATCTTGGTTTCAGATCCACCAGTCCCTGGAGTAGAGGACCTGGAGTAGGAGTAATGTCTAATGGGAGGTCATTGAGAATTCCAGCATGTTCTGCATGCAATCCTCTCTCTGGAGACTCGGGGGTTCCTCTAGCCAAACATACTCTTGAGAGGTGATTGCATAGAAAATAAAAAGACATAATACTTCAGATAAACATCCTCAGGGGTGGTAATTAGGACAAAGACAATTACTGTAGTGAATGGAATTTCCATTTGCTAAGAACTGTTTTGATTTAACAAATAACATCTCAACGGAACGTCCTCCCCCCACATTTATTTATTGTTTCCACTATGATTCACTGATACCCAGCGACAGGAGATCTGCACGCTCCTTTATATAAAACTAGTCAATTAGTGAATTTGGGAGATTACTGCATAATTTAGCCATGACACAGATGGTTAATTGAATACTGTAGCAAAATATATTTTCCTAACACTATAGTGCCCTTGTAGCTGTTTAGGTGACCAGACCAGTTCTGCCAGGGCTACAAAATGTAGTGAAACACGCCATGCCGGTCTCCTCACTCAGGCTCCACCTCTTCGGCTGAGATCTTCGAGTTTGATCATCTCAGCCAATCCAATGCTTTCACATGGGAAAAGGCAGAGATGTGTCAATCAGATGATCTCACTGAGACACTCTTATTAAAATACAAGAGATTTATTCTACTATTATCATGCTAACAGCAACTAGTGCCAGGTTAATCCAACATTGCTGCTGCAGATTGGTAATGTTTTCAAACAGCAGGGTTAAAGGGTTTGGGGTACATGGCACCCAGATAACATAATTGAGAAGACATGGTCTGGGTGTCTATAGTGTTCCTTTAAGCCCTCTTGCTAATTTGGTTTCTATAACAACATCGATAGAAGATGTTATTGCCTGGCTGAGAGTAATGAGAATTGTAATCCAATGAAAGTTGGAGGCTGAATGGTGGACCCAAATCACTGACCCCTGTAAGGTGTTTTAGAAAGATCTAAACCTTTAGGGGTCACACTATGGTCCTTGTCTTGATCCGTGTCTTACACAGGTTTTGTCCAGTTGTAAGTAAAATCAAGTAATTTTTATAAGAGACAGATAATGATATAAAGATCATGGAAACATCTTGAAATTATTCCGTAGGACTCAGACTCCCCATGGGACCCCTGTGGGACCCAACTCTTGCTAATCTCTGTACTGCCAATTACGTCAATCTATAGGCCTCTGTCTCCTCGACACCCGCCAGTCATGTTAGTCATGGGCACATCTAACTGCACTCTGATCTTAGAGGTGGTGGGTGTACGTAATGTATAATGTAAAGACATGCGTGGGATTACTGATTCTTATTCCTTATTATTTGGTTATTTTTTAACAAGGACAATATTAGGAAGCAGTGGCTATTAGCATCTCATTATTCATCTGTAATTTGGCAATCTGACAGTAAACAGATAATTAATGCTTTTTTATTAGTAGTAATGGTATAAGACAGTTTTCAGGTGCAGAATAAGACGTGTACTATGAAATCATATTATAATAATAATAGGAATAAGAAGACGTGTTCTATAAACTCATATAGTAAGAATAGGAATAAGAAGACGTGTACTATAAACTCATATAGTAAGAATAGGAATAAGAAGACGTGTACTATGAACTCATATAATGCTTCGGTAGGTTCTTGCTATTCCAGGTTCAATGGCCTTGTGAAATGATAGAACTCATATATACAATGAATTACAACCAGCAAGTGCGCGATCCATGATAAGAGGACCGTCTAAATCGAGTGAAGTACAATGACACAAATGTAAAGGTAAAAGTGCAGAGAAAACTGATAGCTTGATGTACTAACAACACTCCGTATATAAACATTCCATAAAGTGTTCAGAGGTGAAACGTGTGCAGAGGGGACGTTGGAGCTGGGATAGGTCACACAGCGGGGCGGTATGATGGGAGGGGTACGATGCCGAGGGGCCGTTTGCCTGTTATGATGTATCTCCTGGAGGTGGATGGGATTATTACTGGGAGGTTTATAGTGTAATTATAAGATATATTCTCATCATGTTTCACTATCTCTCCCTCTCACGCATTCATGCTTTCTTCAATACAGGAGTGTACCGTGGGGTTGGCAAGACCAGCCGTCGCCAGGAGCGCAGGCCGAGGGGCGGGGGAGCAAAAATCCCTTTTCTTGCGCCCCCTGCTCAGCCTGCGCCCCCGGCGCGCCCAGGCAGCGTGCGGCTCCATAAGGAAACCGCATGCCCCATAGACGAAGGGAACGCCTCCCCCTTGCTCTCTGCATAGGAGCACCGGGTGTCACGTGACTGCCCGGCGCTGAGTGTGACACAGACACAGTGTGCCGTGCTGGACATCGGTTGCCCCCTTCCCCTTACCATCAATCTGTAAGTACCTTTAGATTGGCACAGGCTCTGTAAGTGAACTGCAAGGGAAGAAGGGAGGGACATATGAGGTGGAAGTTATGGCATGGGGAGATATATGGAAGGGAGGGGGAGAGATGTGGAAGGGGGGAGATATGGAAGGTGGGGGAGAAATATGAAAGGGGGAGAGATATAGGAGAGAAATATAAAATGGGGTGGGTTTGGCATGAAGGGGGAGAGATATGGAATGGGGAGAGATATGGAAGGGGGAGCTATGGAATAGGGGGAGATATGGAAGGGGGAGATATATGGAAATGGGGTGGGTTTGGCATGGTGAGAAATATGGAAGGGGGGAGATATGGAATAGGGGAGATATATGGAAATGGGGTGGGTTTGGCATGGGGAGAGATATGGAAGGGGGGAGAGATATGGAAGGGGGAGAGTGATATGGAAGGGAGGAGACGTGATATGGAAAGGGGGTGGGTTTGGCATGGGGAGAGATATGGAAAGGGGGTGGGTTTGGCATGGGGAGAGATATGGAAAGGGGGTAAGTTGTGGATGCTAGGTAAGTCATGTTAGTGCTATCCTCATGCTGGGGCAAGTCATGTGAGTGCAATCTCTGTGCTGGGGTAAGTGCTGGGACAAGTCCTGTGAGTGCAATCTCCGTGCTGGAGTAAAACAATATATGCCCACAGTATACACATATGGTTATGTCTCACACACTGCCCTAAATTACAGAGGCGGCTCTCTAGTTAGGTGATTTAGGCAGCCGCCTAAGGCTTCGCGCTGATTAGGACCTC